CCCGGCAGTGCCGGGCGGGAGGGTGGGTGCTGTGCCCCCCTGGAGCTTCCAAACCCCCCCCAAATTTCCCCCGAACCCCGAGGGAGGGAATCCGAAAACTTGAAACTTGCAGCAACCGAAACGCGCAGGCGCGGCACGGGCCCCACCAACCGCTCTTAAAAGGGCAATGCGCTTAAAAGGGCAACACAACCTCTTAAAGGGGCAATGCCCTTAAAAGGGCAACAGAGCCGCTTAAAAGGGCAATGCCCTTAAAAGGGCAACAGAGCCCCTTAAAAGTGTGACCCGCATGTGGAGCGCAACAAAAATAAAATAAAATGTTTATAAAATAAAAACATTTTAAAAATTCCCTAAATATATTGAATATAAATATGGCCTTTCCTAAACATACCTAAAAATGTAGTGGTTAAAATGCTCCTAATGTATTGAATAGTATTATATTAATATATCGAATGTTAATATGTTAATACCATGTATATGGATGTAAAACAAATATTAAATATTCCTTAAGACATAAAAGTTATTTCTCATATATATATATTTCTATATTTAAACATACAATTTTTAAAGCAGTTAACAGGTAGGGAAGGGATGGGAGAGCTTCTTTGACTGATGTTAAAGAATAATTTTTTTGGTCTGGAAGGGACGCGATTTTTCTTGGTGCTCTGATGGATGATGCAGAACACTCCACCGCAGTGGAGCCCTGAAAGATGGTCCTGAGGAAAATAAAAGCTGCTTGAATCGCCTCTCTGGGCCACCTCCCCCTTGGCACTGTAGCCCAAAGACTGATCCAGGCTTTCCCAAATTTCCCATCCCCGTCATGGCCTCCATGGAAGCACCAGAACCTTCCCTGTCCTTTCAAATCTGCTTTTTTCTGCCAGAGAAACTGAGGCAGGGACACGTGGCAATGCCCTGGGAGAAGCCATCCTGCTCCCCAAACCCATCCGTGCCCCGGAGGTGCCTGTTACCTGCGAGAGGATCTTTATTTGATATTTAATTGGTGGTTTTTCACATGCATATTTATACACCTGGGAGCCAGGGAAGAGCTCCCCTTGGAAAACCAGTCCAGCGGGGACTCCCCTCCCTGAGGAAACACCTCCTGCTTCCCACCTGCACCGTGGGCCGAGGTTTCTGCTGGAAAAAACCCAGTGTGTGGGGCCTGGAGCATCCTGAAATGAGGAATTCCTGCTCGCTGGTGCCGCAGAATGCAGGATAGGGTGGGCACGCCGTGGCTGGAAGGACACACGGGCAGGGCTGGGGGTCACAGTGTGTTTATTGGGGGGTGTTTGGTGGGCACGGACGCTCCGGGCACGCTGGGTCCTGCCTGGCAGCGGGGCCGTGGGCACAGGGAGCTGCTGGACATGCACGGAGAGGGGTGGGAGCTTCTGGCCTGGAGCATTGTGCTGTCCTCGGGGCATCACATCAGCATCCACCTCGGAGCATCCATTGTCCTCGGAGCTTCCATCATCATCCTCAGCATCCCATCTGCATCTGCCTCAGAGCATCCTGGAGCATCCCATCATCCTTGGGACATCCATCATCATCCTCAGCATCCCATCTGCATCCTCCTCGGGGCATCCTGGAGCATCCCATCGTCCTCGGAGCATCCATCATCATCCTCAGCATCCCATCTGCATCCACCTCGGAGCATCCTGGAGCATCCTGGAGCATCCCATCATCCTTGGGGCATCCATCATCATCCTCAGCATCCCATCTGCATCCGCCTCGGAGCATCCTGGAGCATCCTGGAGCATCCCATCATCCTTGGGGCATCCCACCCCACCNCCACCATCAACATCCTCTGCAGCACCGTCCCCGTGTTCTGGCTGTAGGAGCCTCCCAGTGGGATGGGACATGGGGGTGTCACTGTCCCCCACGCTGCCTTCCAGGCGGGATGCCCGGGAATCTCTCTCCTCCACCTCGTCCCCATCCCGGGGGCAGTCACCCCGCCACAGGGTGCTCCGTCCACTGTCGCTTGGCACCGCGGCTTTCCCACTGCTCTCGCCATAAAAAACAAAGTGGGATTTGCTCTGGGATTTGCTTCTATCTACAAAGTAAAGCCTGTGCCCCCGGCTCCAAGTGGTGTTCTTGCCTTTCCTGGGTGCTGGGGACAGGGACACGGTGTCCCAGGGGTGTCCCCTTGTGGGGTGCAGGGTGGGGAGAGGAATCCCTCAGACGGGGCGCAGCAGCACAATTGCACACCATGCTCCCATTGTCCCCACCTGTGACCCCCATTGTCCCCATCTGTGCCTCCCTCACTGTCCCCACCTGTGATCCCCATTGTCCCCATCTGTGCCCCCCCAGTTTGGAGGATGGAGGGTGAGGAGCAACCTCTGCACTTCCAGACTTTCAGGAGAGTCCCCGGGCACGTGGGGACAGAGGGACTGTGACATCCCCAGTGGGAACCAAGCCCTGGGTTATCCACGGACACCACAATCCCCTTGCTCCAGCTCCCCCCATCCCCATCCTCTCCCTTTTCCCATCCATTCCAGCTTCTCTTGCCCCACATCAGCTCTGGGTCCACTTCCAAGTGCTGCACCGAAAATCAGGGAAGCAGCGTGCCTGGGAGGGGAAAAAGAGACTCCTGGAAGTTGATTTGATCTTTCCAGAGCTACAAACTCCATGCTGTCCCCAAAATCACTGTCGTGGGTGGGAGGGAAGGGGGGGTCACAGCTCCAAGGGGTGACACTTTTCTGGGAACAGGAGGGACATGGCACGTTCCCATGTGCCAACTTGGAGCCAGTGGCTCTGCTTCCCAAAAAAACCCTCGACCGTGATAAGGAGCTGGGTCAAGAAGGTGCCATGGGCCAGGAAATGTGCTAAGGGCTCCCACAGTGACTGGGAACAGCCAGGAGCCACTCGAGGGACTCTTGTGGCCCTTGACACCCTGGGAAAACAGGCGGCATTCAACTCCCCAACACCTGCCTGTGGGTTTTGGGGGCCTCAGGTATGGCCGGGGGGTCCCAGTTGCAGAAGGGGCTTGTGGATGGGCAAAAACAAGGTCCAGCAGTGTGTCCCTGTCACCTGAGGGGGACAGGTCAGAGCTGGGACCCCCTCACCCCAAAAAAATCCACACTGTGGACACCTCTGCCAGCCCCAAAAGCCACCAGCAGTGGTGTCCGAGCGGCCTCGGGACCCAGAATGAGGGTCAGGGACATTTCCTCACCCCGTTCCCACCCCATCCCTGCAGATTACAGGAAATCTTGAATGTCCTGTTTGTTCCTTGCCACATCAAGCAGCTCCAGGTGCCCGAGCTGGCGAAGGGACATGGGCCAGGTCTCACCACGGCCGGATGCTCCACCCTGGAGGGTTTGCTTTGGCCCTGCCACCTCGCTTCTGGGCAGCAGAGAAGTCCCCAAGCCTGGGGACAAGGGTCCTTGACCCAGTGCCCTCGGAGCTCCTCGAGCAGCAGGTTCCCAGGGGGATCCAGCTGGGAGTGGGCGCTCAGCAAACACGGGTGGAGTGGGTCACATGCCAGAGCCCGACTGCACCCTGGGGCCACCAAACCTTCACAGGGGCCGCTCCTGTCCCCACCCCAGTGCCCCAGTATAAAACTCCCAGTCCCGGTGGCCAGGCTGGGCTGGGAATGGGAGGAGGAGGAGGCAGCAGCAGCAGCAGCAGCCATGGAGAGCAGCATGAAGCAGGTGATGCTTGAAGAGGAGGTGAGTCTCTGTCACACCGGGGTGTCCCTGCGGCCAGCTCGGCACAGGGCTTTGCCCAGTTTACTCCAGCGAGGCACCAGCTCCCGGGATGGGGGTTTGGGCCATGGGATGCTGCATTCCCAGTGCCTGGGGGAAGAGGGATGCCGGGGGGCGGCAGGATGAGACCCCCAACCCCTCCTGCATCCCCCAGCTCCCACCTCCACCCCTCTGACCACATCTCCCCCCGCTTTCCCGCACCCCCAGGACTCGGGGAATGGCTGCTGCTGCCCAGGCTGCTGCTTGCCCTGCGCCACGTGCTGCGCCAAATGCTGCACCAAATGCAGCTGGTGCTGCGCCAAATGCTGCTGCCTGCCCAAGTGCTGCCAGTGTCCCAAGTGTCCCAAGTGTCCCAAGTGTCCCGGCTGTGCCGGCTGCGCCAGCTGCTCCGGCTGCCTCAAGAAGTCCCTGTGCTTCGTCCCTCGGCTGCTCTGTTCCCTGCCCCGCAAGCTCCTGAGCTGCGGCTGCGGCCGCCTGCGCTGCCTGCTCATCGCGGTGGTCGTGGTGGTCCTGCTGGTGCTCATCATCGCCGGCGCCCTGCTGATGCGGCTGAGCATTGACCAGCGCCACGCCGACACCGTGAGTGGGGACCCCCGGTGCCGGCAGAAGGGACCCCCCGATGCCCGGGGGAAGGGGCTGTCGGAGTCTCTGAGATCCCCCCTCGTCCTCCCCCAGGTCCTGCGGAGCGGGGTGTGGACTGGGCCAGCCTGGGAAGAGGACGCGGCCACTTTCTACCTGGACAGCGGGGACGGGAACGCGGCCACTGTCATCTATGATTACAGGAATGTGAGTGGGGGTCTCTGGGGAACACGGGGAGGGGGAGATGGGATGGAGCTGACCCGGGTTTGGCTTCCGACAGCTGCTGGTGAGCTACAGACCCCGGCTGCAGCACGCCTGCTTTGTGACCCGCGTGGACAAGGACAACATCCCGGGGCTGGACACCGTGGTCGAGACCTTCCAGCGCCGGCAGGTGAGGACCCGGCTGGGGCAGGGGGCACGTGGGGGGCTCAGAGTCCCCCGCGATGAGCGATGATGATGATAATGATGAAGAATGTCCCTGTCCAGGCTGAGGACAAGATCTCCATGCCCCTGGCTGACCGCTCCCTCCTGGGCACCACAGCGAGCATCCTCTGCAGCCTCCTCCCTGTTTACTGGGCTTAGAGCCCGCGGGGTGGGCAGGGGGGCTGCGGGACCCCCGCCCACCCGGCAGCACCCTCACAGCACCAGCTTTGCCTTGCAGCATCCCCAACAGCCCCGCTGGGAGCATCGGCGANGTGAGGTGGGCACATGCATGTCCGGCGGCTCTCCGGCTACAGGCTGAGGTCCACCACCACGTGCCGGTACACCAGCGTGTTGGCCTTGAAGCTGGGCGCCAGCAGCAGCTGCACGTCGGCCGCCGGCACCGCCCGGAACGCCCGCGGTGCCTGCACCGACAGCTCCTGGAACTTGGCGAACTTCTGCTTCTCTTCTTCCCACAGGTACACGTGGGTGAAGGAGAAGTCGCTGCCCAGCGCCAGGTACTGCCGCTGCCCCACGGCGAAGGGCTGCATCACCATGGAGCCGCGGGACGGCAGCGTCTGCACCTCCACGAAGCGCTGCCCTTCCCAGCGCACCACCTTGGAGTCGCCGATGTAGCGGCTGAGGCAGAGGAACTGGTCCCGTTTGGCCCTGAAGTGCTTGACCATCTGCACGTCCAGCATCTCGCCCACCTCACCCTGAGGCACGAACTGCTTCTGCGCCCGGCTCCACTGGTAGATGACGGGGGCCTGGGAGCTGCTGGAGATGATCAGCCGGGGTTTCCCGTCGTTCTCCACGTATTCCACGTCGGTGTCACGGTGCCAGGCGTGGAGGGCTTGGTGGGAGTAAAAGCCGTTCTGGTTGAGGCGGTAGAGGCTGGTGGAGCCCGCCTTGGAGCTGTCGGCGATGACGAAGTACCAGTCGCCCTCGATCTGGAAGGCCTCGATGTCGTTGGGCTTGCGGATCTTCTGGCTGTCGATGTCCTGGATCTTGATGAACTTGTCCACGGCCGTGTCCCAGCGGTAGATGTAGGAGCCACCGAAGAGCTGCGCCACCACCACGTAGAGCTGCTCCTGCGCCACGATGGGCTTGCAGTGCACCGCCGAGTGAGCTGGCGACAAAACCGCGTCACGCCGGGGCTGTGCCTGCCCCGGGTCACCCCAAACGGGCTGCCCGCCCAGGAGGGGACTCCAAACCCAATTCCTCACCAGGGATGCGGTCGAAGTCACGGAGTTTGCGCTCCACGTAGTCCCACTTGAGGATGGAGCAGCTGCTGGCGCTTGGCTGTGCCAGGGCCACGTACAGGTCACTGGCGTAGGTGAAGGGCTCGGCCGACACCGCCTGGAAGGGCAGGACCTGGTGCATCACGAAATCTGGAGCAGGGAGAGGTGGCAGTGAGGGTGTGAACACCCAGGAGGGAGGTGACGTGTGACAGGTGGCTGTGGCGCCTTACCCGTGGTGATGCACTGGAAGTCACCGAGCGCCAGGTCCCGGATCCGCTGTCCCTCGAACTGCCCGGGGCTGCTGCAGAACACGGCGGGGACCGTGGTGTTGGTGTTCTCCAGCCACTCCACCAGCCACTTGATCTTGCAGTCACAGGCCAGCGTGTTGCCACGGAGGTCCCTGCCAGGGATGGCACCGGGTCACCCCCAGCACCCACTGGGATGTCACCCTGTCCCCAGCTCAGTGTCCTGGGGGCCCCTGCCAGCACCGGGTCACCCCCAGCACACAGCACGCTGCCCCAGCCCCTGGGATGTCACCCTGTCCCCAGCCCGGTGTCCCCGGGAGTCCCCGATGCTGTGGCAGTCTCACAGGTCACTCAGGATGTCCAGCGGCTTGAAGAGGTCCCGTGGCAGCGTCTGCAGGTTGTTGTTGGCCAAGGACCTGGGGGACAAGAAGGGTTGTGGAGGTGACATGTCCCTGATGGTGACAAAGGGACAGGGCCACCCCCGCAGTGTCCCCCAGGTGCTCACAGGTGCGTCAGGGACTTGAGGCCGCGGAAAGTGGCCTTTGAAAGCGCCTGGATGTCGTTGTTCTCAATGAACCTGGAATGGGAGCAGATGGTGACAGGGCCACCCCAAGGATCCCCCTGCCCTCCCTGTTCCCGTGTCCCCGCGTCACTCACAGGTACTGCAGGTGAGAGAGCCCGGCAAAGGCGTTGTCCCCGATCAGCGTGAACTTGTTGGAGTTGAGGAGGCTGCAGAGAGAGAGGGGGGAGGCGTCAGAGCTGGGCTGGGGGCAATGAGGGGAGCTCCGGGGGCATGGGACACCTACAGGAACTGCAGGGACGGGATGTGAGCGAAAGCTGCCTCGCGGATCTCCGTGAAGGCCGCGTTCACCATCGTCCTGCGGGAGAGACGGAGCTTCAGCTGAGGGGATGGCAGCACTGCCACCCCCGTGTCCCCCAGCACCGGCTCTGGGTCATCGGCTGGGGTCTGTCCTCTGCCACTGCCACCCCCGTGTCCCCCAGCACCGGCTCTGGGTCACCGGCTGGGGTCTGTCCTCTGCCACTGCCACCCCCGTGTCCCCCAGCACCGGCTCTGGGTCACCGGCTGGGGTCTGTCCTCTGCCGGGGGAACCCACGAGGGGTCCACAGGGACCCTGGCAGCCCCTGCCCCATGTGGGGACACGGAGGGGACGAGGTGCAGGGGGCTGGCACCCACCGCAGGCTGCCCACGGCCTGCTGCAGCCCCTGGCCCTGGGCTATGTGCACATACACACGGGTGTAACTTACACACAGGTGTAAACACACACTAATGGGTGTGTAAACACATACACACAAGTGTAACCACACACTAACAGGTGTGTAAGCACATACACATGGGTGTAACTTACGGGTGTAACACACGCAGAACGGGTGTGTAAGCACATAGACACAGGTGTAACTTACACACGGGTGTAAACACACACTAACGGTTGTGTAAGCACATACTAACAGGTGTAACACATACAGGTGTAACACACAGAAGAGTTGTGTAAGCACATACAAACAGGTGTAACACACACAAACAGTTGTGTAAGCACATACAAACAGGTGTAACACACACAGAACGGGTGTGTAAGCACACACACAGGTGTAACACACACAGAACGGGTGTGTAAGCACATACAAACAGGTGTAACATACACAGAACAGTTGTGTAAGCACACACACACAGGTGTAACACACAGAAGAGTTGTGTAAGCACACACACAGGTGTAACACACACAGAACGGGTGTGTAAGCACATACAAACAGGTGTAACACACACAGAACGGGTGTGTAAGCACACACACAGGTGTAACACACACAGAACGGGTGTGTAAGCACATACACACAGGTGTAACACACACAGAAGAGTTGTTAAGCACACACACAGGTGTAACACACACAGAACAGGTGTGTAAGCACATACAAACAGGTGTAACACACACAGAACGGGTGTGTAAGCACACACAAACAGGTGTAACACACACAGAACGGGTGTGTAAGCACACACACACAGGTGTAACACACAGAAGAGTTGTGCAAGCACACACACACAGGTGTAACACACACAGAACGGGTGTGTAAGCACATACAAACAGGTGTAACACACACAGAACAGTTGTGTAAGCACACACACAGGTGTAACACACACAGAACGGGTGTGTAAGCACATACAAACAGGTGTAACACACACAGAACGGGTGTGTAAGCACAACACACAGGTGTAACACACACAGAACGGGTGTGTAAGCACACACACAGGTGTAACACACACAGAACGGGTGTGTAAGCACACACACAGGTGTAACACACACAGAACGGGTGTGTAAGCACATACAAACAGGTGTAAACACCCACATCTGCCACACGCCCCTGTGCCAGGCTCCGGGGAGCAGCTGTGTCCCCAGGGACCCTCCATCAGGGCCACCCCTCCAAGTTGTGTCCCCCTGGGGCTGCGATCCCCAAGGTCACAGCCGTGTCCCCTGGGGGTTCTGGTCCCCAAGGTCACAGCCGTGTCCCCTGGGGGTTCTGGTCCCCAAGGTCGCAGCGGGGACAGGCTGCAGCCCTGCTCTGCCTGGCACTGATGGATGGCTGCGTGTGCCAGCGCCGCAGAACACACACACACAGGTCCTGGGCTGTCTGCAGCCTCCTCCTCGCCCCAGAGCCCCCCACACTGACCGAACCCCGCCCTGCCACGTGTTTGTCCCCCTGTGCAGCACAGCCGGGGTGTCCCTGCCCCTCCAGGACAGCCAGCAGCCCCTGCCAGCCCCGCACTCCTGGGATGTGACGCTGTCCCCATCCCTGTCCCCAC